CTGTGCTAGTTCGTCGTAAACCCCGACGAAACAATGCATAATTACCTTTTTTAAATTTAAATTACTGACGGAGAACAAATATTTGTATTTATTGCATATAACGAATATCGGTTACATATATGACATTTTTAGGAGAAAGTTACTGCTGTTTGATGACACAGTTTTATGATTTTAACAAACGATCGCACCGATGGTAAAATTATTCAGATGAGAGAAACGTGTTTGAGTAGAAATACAATGTCTAATTGCAACAATTTCCAAACGTTAATTTGATGTATTTTACAACAGAAAGATACCTATAAAGAGGGAATACCACTGAAAATTACTTAAAAAAAAACACAGAGAAAAAAAGAAAATAATGAAAGAATAAAAGAGAAAACAAAAAGAAAGCTGTGACTTATCAATTTACAATTTGTTTATGAAACTTACAAGATATAAACATTATATAATTATAATTATGTTAAATAAAAACATTAAGCATCTTGCGCCCTGTTAATTTTAAACCAAACAAAGTTTAAGTTTGCTAGATTATTACACAAACTAAAAATTAACGTGTTTGTATAATTTTACATTTATTTAACTTCATTCTTTATTGGGTAAGAAAATATTGTATTGAATTGTATGAACAAATACCTGTGATATGTGATTCAATAACTCGGCTACGTTAAGTATACCTACTTGAAATGCTAAACGAAATGATGAGCGCGATATGACATAAATTTTTTAATTTCACAGATTTTAGCAAACTAATTAAAACTAAAAGATGATTATTTTCATGGCAACATAAACCATACCTTTAACCCGGTCCATATAAGAATGCGTGGAATGCAAAATCATATTAAAATTTAACGCTTAACAGTTAATCCAAAATTAGGTAAATCGTAATTAGTTGTTTTAGTCAAAACTAATTAGAATTCTAATGTGTGAAGGTGTAACTGTCATGCGTTATATTACTATTTATCAAATCTGTTGATCAAAGTTATCTAATTAATAATAAACGACAGAATAATTGTATTATCCAACGGAAAAAAGAATTATGCAGAATAAATAGGATAATGCGAAACGTGTTTCATAATCTGTAAAGACCTGGTTTGTTCTCTTTGAAATGGACGTATTGGAGCTGTTTTTCTTTTCCAACTGCAAATGTCTAGTTCATTCTTTTTGTTATTTATTTATTTATTTATTTATTTATTTATTCATTTTTTGGCAACAGGAAATGCCCAATCCATTTTAAGTATATTTTAATAATTTGAAGTTGACTTTTGTTAATGCTATTTTGCATCTTAAATCTTAAATGTTTGGTCAAATTTCGTATTTTCTTATTATTCAACTTATTGAATTCTACTAAAAACATTATGCAATAAGCGACATATCTTGTGACCTCTTTACAGGAATACGGAGGCTTTAAATTTTTCCTTATTTAAAATTAAAAGATTGAGGAACACACAAGACAATATTGTATCCTAGCTTTTGTACGTAGAAATTTAATTTGTCACCCGATTCCGTCACCAGCATGGGAATGTTAACTTCTGCGACAAACGAAGCCATATATTTGGTTACAATGTCTGGAGCTTTAATTTGGCCCAAACTGTCAGAATAAAATTTCACACTGTGATTCAATTTATTAATGCCCGGGATTCAGAGAAATTCGCAGAAAAATAATTACAAGCAAGGGTCAATCTAAAATAAAGTTACAGCCCAAGGGTTAATTGAAAATAATTTACAGGCGAGGGTTAATCTAAAAAATTTCCAACAAATAATTCGTGCATAAAAAGGGGTAAATATAGAATTTTAACAAGTGCACTTGGTGTTTGAATCTAATTGCATAGTGGGAAATACTGCTACACAACAAACTGAGATTTCTTTTTCTTATTTGTTATTTTTAAATTTTGAAGTAATAATTAGAACCAAAATTGTCTTTAACAAAAATACCGACCCCAAATTGCGCCATTTATAACGGTTTTTCGTTATAATCTTCAATTCTTTACAAAAAATGTTGAACGAGAAACTGAATTTTAAAAAAACCGATTAAAAAAAAGTGCTAAAGGCTAATTTTCATTTTTTGGCCCCTAAAAGTGAAAATAGCGGCCCTTGATAAAGAAATACAATCCCCCTTTTTAGAAAAAAACAACTTAGCAGTAAAGCTGATTCAATGACAAAAAGGGAACAAAACCCCGAAAAGGGAAATTTTTCCCCAAAGGGCCCAATTATGTAAAAATTGAAAAGTCCTTTTTCAGAAAAGACAAAATGGTTTAATTGCTTTTATTGATTTTTCTGTTTTTTTGTGAAACCCCACAACGATTTTCATGGGGAATTGGGCCCGCCCAAAAACCCAAATTTCAAATTTTAACAAAAACAAAAACCCCAAACGAATGAAAAATTAAAGCACTTATTTATTTTGAAGGGGAAATAAAGGGGAAAATTTAAAAAAAAAAATAAAAAAGTACAACTTTCCTTTTTTTAAAGCCAAGGAAAATATTTAAAAGGGTTTAGCTTTTTTAATATAAATGAAATCAAAATTTTAAACCCAAAACACAAAAACCCAATATGTTTGTAGTTTCTTTAAATTTAAATTTAAAAAAATGTGATAACCCCGATGTTTCCCTAGGCTAACAAAGAAAAAAATACTTTTTTAAAAAATAAGATAAGAAAGAAAACCTATAAAAAAGTTTTAAAAATTTAACCTTTTATTTAAAAAATTTAAATTTAAAAAGTTTTCTTTTTAAAAATTTTTTTTAACGAAAATCCCGGGTTTAAATTTTTTGTGTAAAAAAAAATTTCCCAAGACGATTTTTGTATTTCATTTTAAATTTAATTATTTTTATGTGATGGTTTAAAATTTTTTAAACTTTTTTTGGTGTTAAAAAAAATTTTCAAAAAAGACAACACCTTTTTTTAAAAATTTTAATGTAATTTTATATTTTACTTTTGGAAAACTACTTTTTTCTTTTTTCCCCCCTGCAAAAAATGTTTTTTATAATTCCCTTTAAATATAAAAAGTTCATAAAAAGGAAAAAAACCATCAAGTCATACAGGTGAATGTAGGAAAAGTTTAAACCAAAATGTTTTTTGAGGGGGATAGTTTGCTTGGAGAAATCCGAGGAAAAAAAAATTTTGAGTCCGCATTTTTAACTTTTTCCCTTAAAAGTCTAAAATTTTTTAAATTTTGAATTTCAGTTTTTTAAATTAGACTTTAAATTTTGTTTAAAGGGGTTTGGTCTGCACCGAGTTCAAAACTAATCATAAAATAAAAAAGAGAAACCCCCAAGGAAAAATTCCAAATTTTAAAAATTAAAAAAAGCAGAAATCCCGGGGGTTTAAGAGTCTGTTCAAAAAAAACAAATTTAAATGTTTGGGACTCTTGAAGGGGCATTTTTTTGGGGTTTTTGTGGTAAAAAAATTAAATTTTATATGTTTTTTTAAATTTCGAAAAATCTAAATTTTAAAAGTTTTTTAAATTTTTGCCCAAATCTTATTTACTTTTCTTTATAAATAAAACATTGAGAATCATTTATTACGGTTTTAAAATTTTATTTTTGGCAACCATTAAAATCTTTTTTCCCCCATTTATGATTTAACCCCTGAAAATTTTTTTGGGTCTACCCAAAAAAAACCCTTTTTTTTTAAAAAACCATACGTTGGTGAAAACAAAAATTTTTTTTCTGATCAATGCAATACGAACACAAACTTGGAGGTCGTAAAACGTTAATAAACTTTACCACGTTTTAATATTAAATGTTGAAGTTTTCCTTCATGTTGGGCCCCGGGACTGGGGGTTGCAGTAACATGCCAAAGAAAAACAGTTTAATCAAAACGAGACGGGCCCAAAATTTTCAATAGTTTCTGGTTTTTTTTATTTCCTTTTGGGAAAAGTTTTTAACTCGTTTTTTTTAAGACTTAATTTAATTTTTAGGGAAAATTTTTTTTTCAAAAAAAAGTTTAAAACTTCAAAATGCCTGTAGACCCAATTGCCCAATAATTTTCGCGACAAAGCTTTGTTATAAATATAGCATGAGTAAGAATCGATATAAAGAACATTTATTTTTTGCGTGTATATCGTTATTTCGTAAATGCATCTTAGTTATTATACAGACATCACGCATCACTGTAAATCAAAGGTAAAAATGTTGGTCGAAAGACAAGTTTGGTGTTTTGCCCTTCTTAGGTTAATGGTGGGAACTTTTTATTTTATTTATCTTCCCAAAGTTTGTTGTTAAACTATTTATTTACAAAACCGAAAGACAACAAATCTATAATTTTACTTTTGTGCCGCGGGCCATTTGGAATGATGAATGCGTCGGAATAGTATTCTAAAGGTCTCTGTCCGCATGGGTTCAATACCCTTCAGGCAAGCCGTTGTTTCCCTGAACTTAGAAACTTTTAACACTTATTGCCTCAGTACTGGTTGCGTTACCTGAACATCAAAGTATATGCGTGGAAGGATGTTTTAGAAAAAACGTCAGAGAGGCCAAACGTGAAAAATGTTGTTATGTGATTAAAACAGAATGTTACCCCTCTGACGTCCATTATGGCCCTATATAGTAGTGAGCTCGAAGAGCTGGCCGAAAGGGCCTGCTCGCAATGCCATCTTTACGGAAACGCGGAAACCTGCTTAGAATAGTGATGGGTTTTTTCGGAAGTTTTGAATTTACCACAATCGCCCAACTTTTCGAATTACAAAGATAATAAAAAAAACCCGAGGTATTCTGATTGGAAAACGGATTAGACTTGGCTTGTCCTGTGCCACTTTTAATAGGAACAGATCAATATGACAGGACAGGGAAACCAGAAAAAACGGAAAAGCGGTGTAAATAAAATAAACCGAAATGGCAGTTTTAAAACAGAAAATGAAAATTAAAAATGAAACGATATTTTTAACTATTTTTACGGTAAAATTAAATCGAGCTCGGCATTGGCAGGCTTTGCCTTTTTTTCAATATTGGATTTAAAAAACCTTGTGAAGTATCATCAATTATAGTGACTATGTTATATCATTTCAGGTGGTCTTTTTGGTGACGATGAATCAGATCATCTTATCAACGCCTTCAAGTATGGAGTGTATAAGGTGACACATATGCGGATTCTCCCAAAAGTTAGACTGACTGACGATATCAAACGCCTTCCTGTAAATAATAGATTTGAAGCTTCAAAAAAAGGTAAGCTCAATTTTGTAATAAAACAAAACGATCGTTTAAAATATTGTAGCTTGCCCATTAAAGAGTTTTTTCAGTGTATAGAGCCGGGATTTTCAAACTTGATGAATGGCAATCCATTTATATTCTATTTAAATAAGCGAAACAATAGCGAATCATCCACTTAAGTCCAAAAAATACCCTCTTTGGATAAAATTTGAGACAATTTTCCTTGATATGCATTTTAGGGTCTACCTACAAAATATAACGGACAAAATCGATGAAATAAACGAAAAGTATTAGTGTCTGTCTCAATGAAGACTTATTTAAATTGTTTGAGTACTTTGCATTTCCGATTTCATATGTTATTGTGATGTTGTTATAATTTTGTAAATGTGCTGTGCATTTTATTGCATCGTGTGTGCTTTTTTAATGATGGGCTACTTTACTAGTACTTATCTTTATTTACGCAAGAAAGTTCTATTTTTCACAAAACTGTGTGGAACAGTGGTGAATATTAAGTAACGGATGATATAAGCGATTGACAAACACAAGTCTCGCCAAATATTTAAAAATCATGAACGCGAGGTTCGTAGCCTACGAAGCTTATGGGACTGGCAATCATGTATTTGAATTTTATTACCGTCTGACTCTATAATTTTAACATTTTCTTATAATATTCATTATAGGAAAGAAGTTAATCTATTTTGATATAGACACAAATGACAAGATATAATCTTAAAATAGAGAAAATAGCATACTTTCTTACTAGATCAATACGAATTGGACATATATGATTATTGTTTTCCGGCCGTTGAGGAATATAATGCAATTCTAGAAATTAATACGTTTGGTACTCTTCAAGACATAGAGGCTTTTAATGTGCATTTTCCAGGAAATTGAGCAACTGAAATAAATTTTGCAGGAACAGTTATTTTATTCTGAATGGCTAACAAGTAACATATTCAACTAAGTCACTTATAATACATATTTAAAAAAGAAAATTTAAAAAAGTTGTAGAAATAAAAAAAAATCCGCTTTTAATGATTTTCATTATGGGTCAAAAAATGTTTTTTTTTTCTTCTTTTTTTTTTCTTTGGAACATTCTATGAAAATTAGATCTATAATATAGACATACTAAGTCTTGTACATCCACGAGTTTAAAATTTGCCAGGATTTGTTCAATTTCAGTTTATTAAGATCAAAACTTCTGAGATTTTTTACAACCTTTTAACATTTTTAAAACCCTAATATACATCTTTTGTCACCCTTGAAGAAAATTTTCGTTTTTTGGGGTTAAAAACTTTAAAGAAAATAAGTATAAGAAATGACTATATAATTTTCAGGTGAAGTACGAAAAAATCTTTTTCCCGTGCACCCAAAATATTTATGCCATTTGGCCCAATTTAATCAGAAATCCAGCTTTTACGGGTCGGGAGTTAAGCCCCCATTTGCCACAATCGAGAACCCCGGTAGAAAGCTAGCACCATTTCCCCCCCCCCAATTTGTATACTATAAAATTATTCCAGAGATCTTTCCCCGAGTGTTCCTTTTACATCATCAACATTTTTGGCTGGGCCCCAAATGCTCATTCTATATAGCAATCATATAGGTATATTTTTGGATTATGTTTAAACTTGTTTGTTTAAGCATTACTATATGTTCCAACACCGATATCTTTGTAAGGCAAGAGTTATTGAGCAACATTCACACAATAATGCAGGTCAAACAAAACTTTTAGTTTGGTTTATTTCATTTAGCCAAAGTTCAAAATAATGTTATTGTTTTAGAATAATGACTAAATTCCGTCACAATCAGTTGTATCCTTACACAACAATTTTAATCCCAGACTATACATGTCTGTAGAATGATATCTTCTTGTGTTTTATTTCGCCCAGAATCAGTAAAATGTCTTTCAAACATAGTAATTATTTATAATTATTACTTTAATTCTGTGATAGTTTCCGTAAGACCTGCTGCATTTCGAACGACTACTAGTTGCTATTTTTGTCCTTTGGAATCATTTTTAATAAATGTGGCATAGTGCCATACACTTTATACACTTATCAATGGAATTTGGGATTTTTAGTACCCTATTTTTTAAAAAAGAAAACACTTTGTAAAATTTAAAAAAATTCTGTTTTCCTATTTAATAAAACTACTTTTTGTTATTTTACTTTTTTTTAGTAACCCTGATTAAATAGCACCTTTTTTTTTGTAAATTTTTTTTTTCACAAAAAAGTCAGGTTTATTTAAAAATCCAGTTAACCCCGGGCTCAAATGGGACTTCCGAAATGTGGGGTAAAATTTTAGAAAAGCAGATTTTGGGCCAAAAATTGCCGGGGAAACCAAAAAAAACACTGGGGCATATAAATTTCTATACCCCCTTAAAAATTAAAAAAAACAACCGTGTTCCCTTTAAAAAGGTAAAAAATTTTTGGGTACAAATTTGGCAAATTTTGTCATTTCCCGGTTGCCGGGTTAGGAAAATTTGTTGTTAGTATTAGATAACCCTGTTAAAATGCAAAAAAAAGAAAATAAATAACCCCCTTCATAGAAACGCAAAGTTTTTTTTTTGTATACTTAATCTTGAATTTCTTTTTGGAAAAATTACAAAAATTACTGATACCTTCATAAAAAGAAACAATGGGAAAATTTTTCACGTTCTTTTTTTGCAACAAGCTGAAATGTTTGTAAAGGGGCCTTTAAATTTTCTAAAGGGGTAATTTTGCCGCCCTAAACAAATAAATTTATAGCACCACATTAATCTAAAGCATTTCGTTTGTTTTCCTAACTTTGTATGTTATTGACATGTTCTTAAAAATAATGAAATATGGATCACAACAACAAAATGATTATTGCTCTCGGGTAACGCTTTACTTGTGACTTGAAACAGTCTCATTGCTCCTCGTTACCCACTGTTCTTACAGGTATGCGTTTCAAACAGCTTTCATTTTTAAAACAAACATGTTGCTTTAGTAGTTTTCTGTTGATATTACAGTCATATGACTTCTGTCATAAGATAAGAACACAAATAAATATTTTGTCATAACTATATAACAAAACGGACATTGATATTTCAAGTGATTTGATTGTTTTATATGATTGCTTACTTGTATATATGTTTTATTCAAAACATTTTTATTTACTACAGGCTCTGCAGGAAGGAATGATCGACTCATATCATCATATAATAATTAACAATATGGTATGTAACTTTGATTTATTCTTAATATTTCTTTAAAAGATAAACCACCCATGATGAAAGAAAATATGTCTTCGATATTATATTTCATAAACTATTTACGCAAATTAATAGAAAACCATATGTTTTCATTTAAGTGTGGCATTGGTTTTTAAATTTGATTTTTTCCTTGAACATATACACACTTTTAATGATTTGAAAAACGTTTTAAACGTGTGGAACATTTTATTGAAGTATTTGGTTCCTGTTTCATTTCTGTTACTCTACATGAATTATTCTTCATAATAGTTATTTTGTCATTACTGCTTTGAACATATAAAAACATGTCAGTAAAATTATATGTCATCAAATGCTACAAAATACCAAAAAATACAAGACAAGCTTTTAACAAAATGTACTATTTTAGTCGTAATCATTGAACTTTCATTTTAATAGGATATAGAATTGCTGGACCTTGAAGACTACAGGCACAATTTTGTGAACCTCACTGGTTTTAGATTAGTGAACGTAAACAACGAATTTACCAGACACATTTTGAAAGATATGGACGACTATAGAGAAAATACCCAACTCAAAATACTGCACGGTTCTTCTTTGTCGGTAAGTTATTCAAATAAAACAATTAAAGTGACATGTTAGATGACGTCAGATATCGCTGTCAACCTTTTTATATTGTCTGATGCTTAACTTTGGCTGTTAAAAGAACATTTAAAAATGACAAAATAATACCCAGAATGAAATAATATCTCAGAATATTTTATTGATAGCGATTGGGTTATGAGCAAAGTAGTCGTCAAACTTACTAAATGCTAAGCTTTTTGTTCCTGAACACTGAATTTTACTGTTTTGAATTCTCATATAATTTATCAGATACATGTATAGCTTTATACACATAAACGTGATATTATCAATTTAATGAGGTATAATTCTAAAATAACTAAATCTTTGTGACTTTTCCCGCCCTTCTTGTTCCAACTTATTCTGTATGTTAATAAAAATAAAAACGTTTTTTCTTGCTTATAAAATGCTTGATGACTTACATGTAAAAAATTAAAATAGCCTTAATTGAAGCAAATTATGTCTTAAACAAACATTGAATCATTTATATCTGTTGATGGTTAAACTTTTTTCCAATACAAATAATATGAAAATGACTGATGTTTTCACGATTATATCATTTTTGTCCTTTATATGATTTCCATCCTGATGCTTTCTTCGATCTTATATCATTCCCGCCCTTATATCAATTATACACTAATATTTGAAAAATATAAATTTTCATTAATGGAAGAAACATAATTCTGGCATATATGTGTTCTTGATATGACTTTTTGTTATCTTTATAGTTCCAATGTGCACTGATATTCGACGCGGTTTATTTATTTGCACTTGCTGTGAAGGAACTACACAATGTCGTTGATATATTCATTAGACCTAAGGCTATATCTTTATGTATATTGCTTATTCCGTATAATTTCTAAATTTATAAATTCTTCACATAAAATATTAAATATAGTTTTACAAAAATTATAAATGCCTGTTGTTATTGTTGTTGTTATTATCTTTCTTACAATGAAACATTTGATTTATTTATTGTGGTTTAAATATCTTTGATTAATTTATTTGGATTTTTATACTTAATGTAACACGACAGATATTAACACCATATTATCTTGACATCATGTACGATACACTTATATTTCTAATGCTCACTTGTAATTTTGATATCAAGTATTTTTTCCTCAGAAGAGAATTAAACATATTAGAGGGTCTCCACTGAATTTTTTTTCGACATGACGGGACTGGAAATGATTTAACGAGGTTGATGTTCTTTTAATACTTTGTGTGCACAATTTCGATCACTAGCTCACTCTGTTTATCCAAGATGGTATTCTTGTTAAAAAAAATTATCCAAAGTTGATAAGTTATATTTTAGGGGGCAAAGAAGATAGTTTGCACTTGACAGTACCGCTCATGATTAGGCGCAATGAAACAGAGCCTGCCACACATTTTAATTTTGCTGTATTGGGCTTTCTTGAGGGATTCTTATTTTTTTTTCTATTATATAGTCTATTTGGAAAAGAACGTCATATAATCAAATTATTAAAAGGAGATTCTTAATCTTTGTAGTTATTTTTTATTTACTTAACAAATCTTTGTTTAACATTAAACTGTTAAACTGCTAATATGATTTTAAAAATACAAATACATTTTAGATAAAATATTATTTTTTGTACATTTTACTTACATTTATTTTTAGGAATAAAATACAATTATATCTTTTTGTCAAGTATTTTATGTAGGAAACAAAGTAAGATAGATATTCTAAATAAGTGTATTAGATATTAGTATTTCTTTCTAGAAAAACGAATCTTCAGTGTCAGATATACATGTCACGTTCTATATAATATAAAATTGACGCAGATATTCATTATAAGTAAGATGTTGTATGCAACGAGTGTAAAGTGTTTCTTTGATTTGATGAACTTTAACAATTAATATCAAACAAACTTTAGTTTAATATTTAATGAAGAAATATGATTATTTTGATATCTGGGCGTCTACGTTTCGTTTTGTTTTCAAGTGGGTACCAGTGAATCCCTTTAACTTATTTATTTGGTAATGTAAAAAACAAATGTGATTTTAAAAATGATGTATTAAACCTCATATAGATCACTGGAATAGCATAGTAATCGACTTGTCGGGTACTGTCTGGATATCATCTCCCGAATTATATTATTTTCACACAAAAGAAGACTTGTTACAATAACGCAAAATGAAAGGCGTGATGATAAATTTTTGAAAGCAAAAGTAAAACTAAAAAAGGAAATGGCACTTTAGTTAAACATAACAAAAGTTTTGAAATTCCAAATTGTGTAATTGTATAATATTATATTCTGCAATTGAGCCTGACAATTTAAAGAGAAATAGTATGAGTATCCTTGAATAATGCTAGTGTGAGTTTAAAAAAGAAAATTAAATTCAATTGGGCTGTTTGTATGTATATGACATTTATTTTTTCTGACATTTATATAATTATTGATTCATTTGTAATTATATTCATAATATTAAATAATGTTTGATGAAATGTTGCGATATGATAAGATGATATAATAAGAAATAATTGATCGTTAACGGATCTTATTTCAGTTTTATATTTTCATTTGTTTAACAGAGGAACATATTTCTAAATCAAATTGAAATAATTGAAAGTCTTTTCTTAAACAGACATTTTGTAGTGAAAAATACGCATAGCTTCCAAGGCAAGAGTTGATAAATAGTTCAAGTTATGTTAAACATTTCTATAAAATGTAACTGTTGGTGTTATTAATATGGTTTAACGAGTAAATAAGGAGTGTGTAATGTTACTCGAGTAATTACAAATTTCATTAAATGTTGATTTGGCCAGTTTAAATGTGTTTTTTGTTAGGTGTTATACAACGCTGTTTAAAAGATAATATAATAGATCGTCTTAATATTTATTTGACTTGAAAAACTAGGATTTATTATTGAATAAGCCACAGCTTCTATCCTTTTGTAAAATGTAACGGGAACAAAGAAACTTTTTGTTGTTTGTCTTTTTTCAGCATTACATCATTCTATATGTATGTACAGTATGTATAAACATATGTTTTTCGAAATGTCTCCATCAATTTTGTTAAACTGTCACATTTGTAAAAATTAAATATAATAAAATTTCATAATAAAATCGTTGGCACTTTTATCTTTTTGTCCTATTACTGATTTCATAACAGACAAAGTATTTCAAAATTTCTTAAATCGCTTAAATCGCTTGTCGTGTCGAAAGTAGGTCGCATGAAAGATTGATTTGTTCTTATTACTAAGGAATACAATGTGATCCAGTTGTTACACATGTCTTTGAAAACTGGTGATGAATTACTAAATGATGCGCAAGGAGATAAAGATTCACTGACAAATTGATGACGTGCGTGTAAAAGTCTATTTATTCTGAGATAACAAGCGTTATTGTTACAGAACATTAAATGTTACAATTCAATTATTTTTTCATTTAACTGAATAACAGATCATAAAATTACAGAGGGATTTTTCTTCCTATTCCAAAGCAGCAGGATATACACGACTTAAAAATCTAATGCAAAATACGTGTTAAGATAGCTCTTCGACTTATTTTGGACCAATAAACGGCCGAATCGTTCTTGGGTCAGTTTGCTGATTGATTTGATGATTTAATTTTAAGTCAGTGTTTGTGTCCATTTGCGTTGCTCATTTTTACAAGTGTATGTCACTTTCTGACCCTTTACTATTAAAGTCATAATGGCCGCTTTCTAAGCACATTACATGTAC